TGTCTTTTTCTTCCTTTTGGTAATGCTTTCAGCCCCCAGGTATAGCTACTATACCTTTGTTTTGAACTATTTGTTGCTTAACCTTGCAATTACTTTATGTAATCTAAAACCACTTTGGATTGCAGTTTGCAAAAAGATTCCTTGGAAAATAAAAGTATATGGTATTGTGATTCTAATCAGCAGATCCCAGAGCCATAAACTTCAAAGAATCTTTGCAATGTGAATTTCCCCTGCTTCTGAGAGTCAGTTTTCAAGATAAATGTGGGATCTTTCAAAGACAGAGAGATGGATATCTACAGGTACCAAGGTACAACCTGCATATTTAGGAGCAGTAGCACTTTTTTCTAATTTAGCGATAAAATCCAAACAGATAGTCAAACAGGGCAGTTGATCTGCTAGGCATGAATCATTTCACCAGTCCTGTGACTTTGCTGTTAAGCAACTCTAGATGGGCATATATACACAAATGGCAGTGACTCACAGCACAGACACAGTGAGCAATGAATGTTCAAAACTCCTATTTGTCTATATTATCCTAAAAATCATTTAGAGAGTTTAAGTTATTTTCTAGAAAATAATGCTCCTTTAGTATACAGGATCCTTATACAGGGTTGTTCCACTGTGCCAGCAAGGAAAAGAAATGGGAGAAGTGGAGCTTATAAATTATCTTAATTGTAGCAACTTAATCCAAGTGCAACTGCCAGGATGTTCTGGAAGTGAAGGAACTGTGAACTGATGGCATGTAATCTTCCAGGTAGAGTGGAAATAGCGTGGCAGCAACTTTCTCAGCTCAGACCTCCTGAGGTCTGTAGATGACTTCAATGGATGTAGTTACTCCTTCTCCTGACAGGAGACATCCTCCCTCTGCAAACTCATTCACACAAAACACCAGAGGAACCTCCCTGTGAGTTCCTTTCCTGCTCCACAAACACTTATGTCAACACTCCTGAGAAAGCAGGAGTAGGGATGATGCTGTGGGGGAAGGAGATGATGGGAATTCCACTGCCATTACAAGGCAAAATATTTGCTTCTACATATTATGACACCAATTGGGTCCACCTGAAGTTTAAGATATAACCTAGTCATGTTTTAAAAATTTAAGATGAAGGCTATCCAGTCTATGTGTTTACAGAAATCTATTCCAGAACAATTTTCTGTGTTTTGTCCCTATTCTTATATATATATTGTGCTACCACTGTTAGAGCATTAAAACTCCAGCAGTGATGACATGGAGCAGTTCTGCTACACCTTCATTTTACTTCAGCTTCACTGTCTCAATTAAGAAGAAAAACTGAAACGAGTCAGAACTTTAAGCTGTCTTATGCTACCATAAAATTACAAAAATAATATTATTTTAAAAATTTCCTTTTTCTTTTCCTTATATTATAAAATTTGCTACTGTCTACAATAAACCAGCACCTGGGAAAAAAAAAAAAAATCGGTGCAGGAAAGGAAATTTGATGCAGCTTCTTAAGCAATACCCATCAGCACCATGACTGTAATTCTGCTTTCAGTGGAATCTGCCTCCTTCGAAAAGCAGTGACATCTTCTCTCCCCACTTTTTAAGACAGGCCAATATTTCCCCCAACTTGATGACTTGCTTCAGCTTGCTTTTCAGCCCTTCTGAAGTACGATCCAACTTCCTCTGGTTAAGAAGGCAATCCAAAAATCTCCCTCCACCACCAAGAACTAACCCATCTTTGTAGAAATCTCATCACTGTAGCAGGATTCAAGAAACTAAATTGCAGTTAGTGAATTTAAACGTACTCCAGACAAAGGGGTTTACTCCACAAATGTGAAATACTGTCTACTACCTGAGCCAAGAGACATAAAAATAACCTTAATCTGTTTTTATAAAATGCAAAGTAGCAGCAAAATACTACTCTTCAGCTATTTTTGAAAGCCATAATTTTTACCATTTGTACTGCACTCAATGACATTCTTACTAATAGCAAAGTATGCAGAGCAAGTCTGCTCTGCATGGAATGTCCTCTGACTTTCTGCTCGGTTTCTGCTTCAGTTCCAACTCTTCCTTCCTGTCCATCTCCTGTTCAGGCTCCACAGTCTCCTCTGGGATTATTCAAAGATCCTTCCGAAAACAGGAAATGCTTCTAAAATGCTGACTGTCAGGAAGCAGATTCAGTCACAAATCTGAGTAAGAGCTAATTTGAATGTGGACTTGTTTTTAAACAAGCATCTGACAAGACTGGTACTGCAGTCATCAAATGTGATCAGGATACAGACACACTCTTGAAGAGCAAGCTCAGCACTGTTTTTACTTATGGCCCATCAATGCTGTAGCTGCTGGAAGCACCAAGACAACACAATCCACTCTTTGACAAGACAAGTCATTACAATAAGGAGACAGGAAGACCTTTCTATGCCTTTATGCAAAGCCAGGTAATTAATGCAACCTCAAATAGAACTGTAGAAGAGAAACAATCCGAGTTAATCATGCTCAGCAGTAGTTTTTTAAGCACTTCATCACTGATGATTTTTTCAAAAGGTCATATAGACACTTCCCTAATAGCATTAAAGTTACTCTTGACAAGGTCACATTCACAGCCTCCTGTCCAAGTCAAGGATTTGATAAATCAGCACAGGTCTGTTATCTCCTCTAAATAACGGCTTACACAGGTAAGCAATTACAGAAAGATTTATTCAGATCTAACTTACCTACACATATTACAAATGCAAGTTATATACAGGAAGGCAAGGGCAAGATTTAGTCTCAGATCAAGCAGCTGTTTCTGACAATGTGAAATCAACTGAAATAACCAGATGGCTCGCACCAAGTCTTTATATATAGAACAGACAAAAAAATAGGATATTTATGTCCAACCTTGAAAAAAAATAATCCCTAACTAAATTTAAAAAAACAATCACAAACTAAATAAAAAGGTATTTTATTGCCTTTTTTGATTTAAAATCCCTTTGTTCTAGGCAAACTGAAATTATCTTGAAGTCAACAAGTAAGCTCAGCTGTGTTGTGCAATGCTTCCATTAACCTTGCAATCAAGCACTGAATCCAATGCCCTTGTTTGGATTTCCCTGCTGCAGGGGAAAATGTACTTTGTAAGGTCTGTGATTTACCTTACCAGAGCCAATGAGTAAAAGCCTCACAACTAAACTTTTGCAACTAATAGCATAAGAAACTAAGCAAGCTAGCATATCACAAAAATTCCTGATAACTTTTTAATGATTAACCTCACGCCCACAGGTTCACAGTCTTTCACACTTGTACTCCCATGCATTCAGTTAACATCTGCTTTGAACAAGTTAAATAGAATCTTAATATCTTTTCTGCATGTACCAATAAAGCAACCCAGTACCCCTCCTCACTGTCTCACAGAATGAAGAAAACAATTAATTACTGCACAGTTTTATTCAACTCCTTTTCCTTATGGCCATTTTCACCCGAGAATACTCCTTGAACTATGATTAATTTTTTGTTTAATCTGCACATCATGGTCACCCAGCAAGCCAAGACGAGCTATCTTTAAATCACTGTCCTCCTGTCAGAAGTCCCTCATGTCCTGCTAAGGTATTATATTCGAAATAGAAAAGACTAAATCAAAGCAACATATCACCAGCTCTGGGGCCAAGGGTTATTTTTCTGCCATGCAGAGTCTTTATTGTGTGTAAAGTCTGTCCCCCTCTAAGTGAACTGAAAGGATGATTTTCAAAGCTTTAACAACTGACATCCTAGGGATTGCATTTCAGTGGGTCACAGCCCCATTCTAGGTGGAATACACTTAAACACTCAAATAATCCCTCTTGTCAAATGTTCCTAATTGGTGCCTGATGTGTGGTAGCTTCAGGAAAGGAGCTCAGCAAACAAAAAGTGTTGCAAGCACAGAAAATATTGGATGGGGGGAGGAGCCAATGACAGGAATGTAACACCAGCTCTCCAGAAAGCTGTTACTTAAACAACAATATACTTTATCTTAGACAAATGCTGAATTTTAAACAGATGCTTTTGCTACTGTGGCAATGTTCAGAAGCCACAGCAGCAGAAGCAGATGACACTCTAGCTGCATCACAAGGTGGAAACGCCCTCACTCACAGGACTAGCAGTGAGTGCTGGTTGGGTTTCAAGCTGCAAATTTCAAGAGATATGAGTTCCTGGAAAAGTACAGGCATATTTTACAACTGGCAAGCATATGCTGACCTGTAATTCAAACTGAGCTGAGATTCCCTGTTTTAGTTCTTTTGTTTAGATGTGACATTCTGCTCTTTACTAATATCACAAGGACACCAAAGCAGATTTAGGTCTAAATCTTTGCAGATTTAGATTTAGTTTGCTTAGAAAATAAGGTTAGATTAGCCATCGCTTGTGTTTCCTTAGTAATACCTGCATCACAATGAAGAAAGTATTGGTAATATCCAGCTCAGTCAAGTAAATTATGTCCTGGGAATGACTTACAGATTTTAAAAAAGAGAAAAAAGTTTTAGTTCAAAAATTGGTTTGAATGTGTACCTCAAAATTAATGTTCCATACTTAGAGGCCCATGATGGAAGAAAAAGGATACAGTCACTTACTGCATCAACAGTAACACTGATCAGGCTTTGGAAGGGGAAGAAGCAGCTGTGCTGACCTCATTAAAAGCAACAGTATTTAACCCATTTATATCTTTACATTTACAGAATTTTCACTGGGCTCCTTTGTGACTGCACTCCCGTAAATTATGGCTTTCCAGTCCCCTAATTCTTGACATTTGGCCTTGACTGTTCACACTGAATCACTAAAATTGGAGGAGAATCAATGGACATGAGGAGAGAATTCAGTCCTTTCCATTTGAAACACTACTAAAACAGGAGTTTAACACTTGTGTTGCTTCCCATCCACAAAAACACAGGGGAGATTCCAGCAAAGCACTCAGGAGACATAAAACTAGCATTTCTCTCAACACCTCCATGAACACACAACCTAAAATACTCTGGAGAAATTTATATCCATGCATCGAGTGCCTGGATTGCCAAGGGTGTTTAGCCCCTACCTGTCGGCGTCGCCGAGCCCCAGGGCTGTGCTACGCTGTAGCGTCTCCCGCACCGTGGCCATGCTGTCGGGCAGCCGGTTCAGCCGCCGTGTGTACAGCCCCAGCCCACCGTCAGTCAGGTACCTGACAACGAAATGCCATGTTCAGTATAACAATAAAAAATTCACATATTATCATAGCACCTATGATGCAGTTTCCCCGTTTTTAAGTTAAGGATGTTACACAAAATCAGAAGCAAGGAAAATATCATTCTTGATTAGATCAGAGGTATCCTCCACCTCTCATCATTCTCCATTATACCTTGCATGCTCTCTCATCACCAAGACTCGAATTTCAACATAAATGTGGTAACAGATACTTAAAGAAAACTTAGCTTTCATTAAGGATACCTATATGGAAGTAATTTAATATTTGTGAATGCTATCATTAATGACCCTTTCTTACCCAAAAAATACATGGCCTATACCACCCTGTATTTTTCTGCATGGGCTAAAACACAATCAAAATTTCAAATCTTTTACAAGTTAACTGCAAAAATTACATTGACTTAATCCCTAGATTTTGTCAATGACTAATAAAACTAAAGTATTCCACAACTTACAGAAATCACCATGGATGAAAAGTTTTTTGCAACCTTTTGATTCTTACATTCTACTCTGGCTGTAACTGTGACCTAGACACACCTGCATTTTAAAATTACTATTTACTATCATGATTCTTAGGCACTTAGAAATGCCAGGTGCACATATGACCCTTCATAAATTGCTAAGATAGCACATTTCTTACTTTCTGGTTTAGAAAAATGAAAAATTAATGTTAAATTGAACAGAGACAATACATGGCAGGCAATCGAGCCCTGTGTTACCACCATCAGTTCATCAGTTGATGCAGGTCTATATGAGCAGCACTGACAGCTGAGTAAACACACCATGAAGATTTTCACATACTTGAGACTGAAATAACTCCAACAACCCCCAGCACTACGGTCACCATTTCCAGCACACTGCTGGACAAGCACCACATCCCACTGAGACAGGAGCTGAAAGGAGTGGATCTCCTCAATCCTTTAGCAACTCTGACACCAGACCACACAATAATATCCAGATACTCAGGACAATTTCCTCTGGCATAAGAAAGCACACAGCTTTCTCCCTGATAGTGAGACTCCCTCACCTATTGCAGGAATGGAGAGATGCTCCAATGCTCTGAGATGCAGGAAGCAGTGTCTCTGCTGGCGAGATCTCACTGTGCACATGTACTTTACCCAGCCCAGATTTGATTACTACATTTAGAAAAATGGGATGGTGAGCAGCTGGGAAGCCTTGCCCAGTATGTTGACTAGCATTGCAGTTCGATGTATAAATCTGTACAGGGCCATCCCAGCAGCAACTCAGGAGTCTCTGTGGAGTCTAACCAAGAGGTTGCCAAGCCCATCAAGTCAGACACAGGAGTATTCCCCATTCAGCAAATCTGTGGGGATTCTCCCAACTCATAAACAAAGACTGTAAAAAGCACAAGGAGCAGTTGTGGTCTAGCATGTAGAATTCACCTTAGGTTTGGCATTCTAACTTGTGTTTGACAGTTTATAAATATTTTATCATGGAAGAATATTTTTTTTTCCTTAAGCTACTTAAACAAAGGGGAAGAAAAGAAAAGCAGAGCTTCAGACCACAGTGTTATAAAACATGCAAAGAGTATTTTGCAATAACATCTCGTGTACATACACTGATTGGTTTAATGCAGGAACATGTCTGCACACGAAACAAGTTTCTGTGTGAATACACTTTGTACACGTGCTAGAAAACGCAGCTTCTGCCTTTGCTCAGATTCTTGGCATATTAGTCCTTTGATAAAAAAGATCTGAAATAGATTGTTTTTCATATCTATCACTCAGAATATGTGGAAATAAATTTAATATTCTTTAGAGTGAGCCATACTGAAATCAATGCCTTTTCACTAGCATCAGTGTATTTAATCTTCTACACAGAAGCCAAATGAGCTAAAAGATTAAAATAACACTACAGTAGCTCAAATTGAACATTTTTTTCAAGCACTGATAAATCTTACATTAGCCAATGGAAGCTAGATGGCTTTGTCACCTCTGACAACTAGATCATGACAGTTTACTAAACAAGTCCATGTGAAAAAGCACAGCCATAAATGCTGACTTTTACCCCCCATGCCAATAACACCAGTTTCTTACATGCCAGAACAATATAGGATACATTTTTGTATTTAGAAACAGACTTGTATAATCACAGTTTGAAAGCTTTATATCTTATTTTTATTTCACATAATATCCTATACCTAGGAATGTTTAACTCGGAAAACATGCCAAAACCAACAATGCCTTAAGTCCTGCATGCAACAGCAAGGTGTAGGAAGAAGGAAAGGCACTAGCTTCTAATGTTTGTGAAGAAAAACACATTTCAAATAAATACACTTTAAAATAAATGAAAAAAAACCTTTATTATCCAAAGCTACAGGTGCCACAAACCTCCAGCCATTGCCTTCTTTTCCTTCCTCTCCATCCCTTCAAACTTCAGTTGTCTTGGCTTTAAGAAACTATCTTGCCCTTATGAATACATTATTACTACTGCAGATTTTTGCTTTATGGGAAAGGAGAATATAATGAAGGCACATTTTTCTAAAGAAAATCTTCCAATACTTTATGCAGGGGGAAACAAGACCAAGGAAATACTATCCTGTATATAACTGTAACAGCACTCAGAGTTACTGGAATTAATTGTCCTATCACATCCATACAATGTGGAACCCAAGAATATTGGCCTCTCCTCTACAATGACGCATTGCAGTCCAAACAACTGTACTAGGCCTAAGTGTAATTTATCTGACTTTTCATACTAAAAATCATGACAGATTTGCACTAAAAGCCTTGCTGGCATGACTGCTAAGAATTCTGCAAGCACATTCAGTGCAAAACAAACATGACTTCAAAGTATTTGTTTACCTGCCCCAAAACAAGAAAAAGTTTAAATATATCATATGTGGAAAAGCACAGAATCCAGATTCTGACTTTCATAGAGGTAGGTAAATTGTACAAAAAATTTAATCTCACGGATACTTTATGAATGCTACCAACAGCCAGAGGAGAATGACTGCCTTTAATGAAGCTGAATATAATAATATTTAATGAATGGGCAGTGAAACAGTGATGAGGTTGGTTAAAAGGAGTTTTTGATCTTTCCAGAAATTAATGTCCAAATACTCATCGCTCTAGCTTCGCTCTTCATCAGCAAGGAAAAAAAAGATAACCAAATTTCTGATAATATAAAAAGATTCAGGTTAAACAAGAGCAGTATTATGCATTTCTAACATACAATTAGGACTTCTAGCCCACTTCCTAGGTGACACTTTTTTCCGATTAGAAAGTGGCTACCTACCCTGCATTACAGGCATAACATAACTTGCTTTGGACAACCTAACCTTTAAGCTTCTCTTTTCTTTAGCCAAATACACCCTTTCCGTGCCTCTGAAATCATGAGCATCGTAACAAGCCCTTCCAAGTGTAATATTTTTAGAGTATTTCTGATGCTGAAGTGATTTAGTCTCCTTTCCTGAAAGGCACATTGAGGAAACACGAATGGTCATGCAAAATCCAGTGGTCTGAATCACTTGATTTCTGTCTGCACTCTCTACTTACTGACAGATACAGCCAGCCCACAGCACACTTACTTTTATGGTCTGACTTACTCTACCACTTCATATATATTCATTTCACTCCTTAACACGTGAATATGAATTTTCCAAGTTTGAAAATAGATAGCCAAGGGAAAAATATTCTTTACTTAAGGATTAGGAAGAGAAGGAGCAGCAGGTAAATCAGCAACACACAACAGACTGGGCAAGCTGACCCTTACGTGCTCAGGATCCTGTGATTCCATAATCCCAATCCCACAAGCAGGAGAACAGCAAGGTACCTCAAATGGGAACTGACTCTGGCAGCTCAGGTGCTCCTGCCTTCTTCTTGGTGTTTGGGATTACAGGCTGGTGTGGAAATAGCTGCCCAGGTATCTCCTGGGCAGAGGACTTGCCCAGCAACCCAAGAGTTTGAAACTTTAAGAAACAAAAAGCTTGAGGGAATTCACATAACATCTGCTTTGACGTGAGGAAATATTCTCTTATTGATGTAGCAGTAACACTGTTATCCTTAATGCTTTCCTTTAAATTTCTCTTTTCACTAGGCTTCATCTGTCTTGTCATTACAGTCAGTTAAATGAGATCAAGAGCCTTAAGGAGTTTTGAGTATCAAAGAACAACTCTAACTTTGCCAGTCGCTAAAAACCCACAGCAGAGAATTCCCCAGTGCTGTTACTGAAATATGCCAAATGGGATCAAAACCATCCTGCTATTGCAGCTATGAATATGTCCTAAATCTGACTTAAAAAGAAATGCTATCCCTAACAGCTGGATGATGACAACTGCAAATTTCCAGTTTAGTATCAATTTGATCTGCATTTTTCATCTTAACACTGGCATTAGACCATATGGGCTTTTCCCATGTTTATATGCCCCAAAATCTTTCCAATCACTGCTCCTGCCTGACTTGAATCAGTACTTGATAAGTACTCGATCTCTCTAACCAAAGGGCTGGACACAGACCCTGTCTACCAGCCTGGGGTTGGTATAAATTCCATTATTGATCCCTGTGAATTTCAACAAGAACATTCAAGAACAGGATTAGGTCCTGAGCTTGCAGTAGGAACTCCTAATATAATGCCCAATCCCTAATATTAGACCAAATATTACAGTTCAAGTTCATAGAAGGGCAAACCTATTGCTCAATTAATAAAATTTAATTTATATTTAAGATAGTCTATAATTTATAAATTAATAGAGTTTTGCTAATAATCAGTAAACGGATGAATGAACTACAAATTGTTTTGCAGGTGCTTAACCCAAACATTGAGTAATTCCTGAACAAATTACTTGGAGACTCAAAAATCCTAATCATTGCTGGAAAGGAGGAGATACCTGTTACACTAACAGGTAAAACAGGAAAAATTAGATTATGCAAAACTTAGAAAGTATATATTAGTTTCATAGTTTAGAGAAACCTCTCACGTGTAAATCGCTAATTATTCATGTTGTTTAAACTAGTC